AAAACCAAGGGCAACTAGCTATACCAGAGAACTACTTCCCTGTCTATGGAGTCTACTATAAAATACCGAATTAGACAAGGTACTCTAAACAACGATTAATGGATATGGATATCCACAATAGATCTGGAAAGGTCGAGGTGGGGGAGGCTACATGAACCAGTCATAATTGAATCTAATCTAAGCATCTGTGTTTTTATATATTAAGATGGCTATTTCTAAAGTAAAAAGTAAAATTGGCGTTAAAATTGGATGGGTTTTAAATAGTAGCCTAAAAGAAGCATAATAGTTTGCTGACATAGCAGCCAAACAGTCCATTTTTGGAGAACGAAATGTACTATGATTTAATCAACCCAAAATACCTAAACATTTTTTGCTGCTGTAAATACCAATTCCCCTTTGCTAGATCTAATCGCAAAACAATCAGAGACTACAGTTTCTATTCAAACCATTCACGTGGTATTTAAACTTCAAAATTTTACGTTGGTATGACATTCTATCAAATAAATTTTTAAATTATATATTGAAAATTTTGCATGTGGTGTGTATGATCATCCTGTTATATGGATTTTAGAGTTGTCAATGAGAAGTTGATATTATAATGGCGCAACACAGTAACTTATAAAGTGGTAGAACCATACAATTGAAAGTTCATTATAATGCCAAAAACCACAAGAAAAAAATGAAAATCTTCCTTCCAACACCGCTCCTGTAGAGGCACATATAACTTCGCTTGAAAATTTTACCAAGAAATCATTGATGAAATTGGAGTCATCATTTAATATACAATTGAAGCAAATCCAGGAATCAATAAATAAAATGTTTGACGCTCAAAGTGTTCAGACGACTTTCTCAGAAAATGTCCAGACCCAGTTATATTCCTTTCCCAAAAAAACAACAAAACGAGTTCAAACAGCTGTATTGATAATCCTTCTATATCTATTCAGAGCAAAGCATTGAAAAATTCCTCCAATCAGCGTATATCTGGTACAATTTCAATCCCTGAGGAGATTACAGACATTTTCACATATGGTGGAGGCGAAAATTTAAAAGCTATTTGATGTTTCAGGGAATTAATATCCAGTCATCCTCAAAACAAGTAGCGGCCTTGCTATCATCATTCTTTGAGCAAAATGTTTTAGATGTAGTATGCCTAATAATAAAAGTGGATAATGTATTAGATGAAAACCCAGAAAAAATATTGGACAAGTTAGAAGAATATTTTAAAAAGAAAGAAAATAACCGAGTAAGACATAGCCACCTTATGCAAAAAAGAGGTTGGTGAGCCATTTACATCTTTCTATAGGGAAACATTAAAATTATTCCTGTTAACGGATCTTGCTATGATGGTTGTTTATGTGACCAAATCATCGAATCAATATCTGATGCCGAGATTAGAAGAAAATGCAGACTTCTACCTGATTCGGTGGGACTAAATCATATTCTTAAGTTATGTGATTCAGAGGAAAATGTTTTGCGAGAAGAAGATCAATCTAAAGCAGAAGTAAACAACGTAAGAAAAGAGGCTCAACCGGTTTATGTAAAAAAATGTTCGGGATATAACCAAAATTGGCATAAAACGCTTAATCATTGTAAAGCAAAAAAATGATGTGTGCAAAATGCAAACGCAAGGGCCATCTAATGGAATGTTGTCGCACAAAAGGCATTCAGATAGTTGCTGGAGTTCCAAATGAATTCAGTAAGCAATGACTTTTTAGGAATCACCCGTTTAAAAATCAACCAGGTATCTTCCAAAGATCGTCAAATTAATATCACAGTAGATATTAAAAGAAAAAATTACATTTTTTCCTTTCCATATCTTGCAACCCCTGACACTGGTGCTGAGGTGTGTGTAGCTGGAGTAGACTTTCTGACTAGAGCAGCAATTCAAAGCTATGAATTAAATACACCTGAATTTAATCTGGAATTAGCAGATAAGTCTCCTTTGGGTCTAATAAGTTCCCTTACATGTACTATTATTTACGAAAATTACCAGGCTAAAGTTAAAATATACATTTGCAACAAAATAAAGGAACTATTATTAGACAAAGAATATCTTAAAAAGCTAAACATTATTCATGACTACTTTTCCCGTCCTATCGTAACAGTAAATGCTTTTAATGAGATCCCTAATGATCCTTCGGAGGCGGAGAGAAAAAAAAATTAGATTAGAATTATTGACTAAATATAAGGATGTTTCTAGCTCCAGTAATAATTTAAAACCTATGGAAGGAAAGCCAGTTCATATTCAGAAGACATGCGATATTCTGCCCAAGACGAATACCATTTGGGATGGAGAGATTCCGTTAAAAAAGAACTCGATGATCTATTAGCAAAGATATTATTATAATGGCAGATGACACTCCATCAGATTTTGTCAGCCCGTTGGTCGTTGTACAGAAAACAAATTGCAAAATAAGAATTTGCATTAACTTTACCATGTTGACCAGATATGTTAAACGTCTTGTAATTCCATTTAAAGCACTATGGGAAGCAGTAACATATATTAATAAGAAATCTAAATATTTGTGTACGCTAGACACAAAAAGTGGGTACTGGCAGCTCGGACTGGACGAAGAAAACCAAGCTTTAAGGACATTCCTAATTCCATGAAGTCGCTTCAAATTTCTTCATGCTCCCATGGGATTATTTAGCTTAGGTGATGAGTTTTGTCATCCTGGAGATAAAGTATTATCGAACATCCGTAATATAGAAAAAGTTGTTGACGACACTTTAATTTATGATAAGAAATTTAAAGACCACTATGCAAATATTATTCGTCTATTAGATATATGTAGGCAAAAGAATATCACACATAATCCCAAAAAGTTTCTTTTTACTAAATCTGAGCTTTCATATGTTGGTTATACCGTTGGAGCAAATGGAATAAAAGCAGATCCAGCAAAAATTAAAAAAAAAATAAAAAAAAATTTCTAGACTTGGTAAAGTAAGTAAATTAAGGTCTTTTATTGGTATTGTTAACCAATTAGGTATTTTTTCTCCAGAAATCAGTGCACATGCAGTTCCTTTACGAAGCCTTTTGAAAGCGAAGAATGTTTATATGTGGACACCTGTTCATGAATCTTAATTTGAAAAGGTGAGATCAGCTCTTTCACAACCACCCGTATTGGGTCACTCTGATATAAATTTACCAACAGAATTGCAAACAGATGCCTCAAAATTAAATGGTTTGGGGTATATTCTGTTACAAAAATATTAATTTGGATGAAAAATGATTCAGTGTGGATCTACGTTTATTAAAGACATAGAGTCAAGGTATGTCATGATTGAACTAGAGCTATTAAGAATTGTGTGGGCGGTAAAAAAATGTAGGCTATATCTTCTAAGTAGTTTTAAAAGATTTTAAAACTAAAATAGACCATAAGCCTTTAATTCCGATTTTAAACTCTCGACAACATTGAAAATCCTCGACTGCAAGAGCTAAAAGAAAAATTGGCAGGATACAATTTTAATTTCGAATGGGTTAGAAGTCAGGATCACACAATCCCAGATGCGATATCCAGAGCTCCTACAATACTAGCAGAAAGAGAAGATTTATTAGTTGAAGAGCAACAGACACCATGTGATATCTTTTGTTAGTCACCAGTTAGCAGTTAGAATAAATAATATTTCAATCTAGAGATCCGGTCCTACAAGAAGAAAATGTTGCCAAAAACGACGATGTCTGTTAGATGTTAATGAATCATATAAAAACTAGTTTTCCACGGTCAAAACACTTCATTGCTTCTAAGCTCACTCCATATTGGAGCATGAGAAATGAATTAGGCATAAGAAGATAACTTTATATTAAAAGATTGTCATGTAGTAATACCCACAAGTTTGAGAAAATGGGTATTGGAAAGATTGCACGAATTGCATCAAGGGGTTGAAAGAACAAAGCGTAGAGCTCGACAAACAGTATATTGGCCTTTGATATCAAATTAAATTAAAAATATGGTGAAAAGTTTTGAAAAATATCAACTCTCACATGTTTCTTTTCAAAAAGAGCCGCATATCCAAACGCAGTGCATGAGCGCCTGTTCGTAGAGGTTTCAATGGACCTATTCACGTGTGCAGGTAAACATTATATGATTTATGTAGACAGACGACCCGGGTGTCCAATAGTGTGCCATTATGGGTCTAGAGATCCAAACGCACAAAAATAATAAAATATTTAAAGATAATTTTCGCTGATACTGGAATTCCAATACGTATCCGTTCCGATAATGGCCCACAGTTCAGTTCCTTTGAGTTTCAGAAATTTCTAAAAGAATAGAAAATACTTCATGATCCATCGACTCCACATTACTCTCAAAGCAATGGACATGCAGAAGCAGATGTAAAGGCGATGAAAACATTAATCAGAAAATGTACTGAAAATGGACAACTAAAGGAAGATACATTTTGTATAGGACTATTGGAATGGAGGAATACTTCCAACGAAGAAAGCCGATCACCTACTTAAATTCTTTTTGGCCATCCATTGTGATCTTTGATACCAGCACATAGAAAGCTGTTTGCCCCAGAATATCAAGTCAGTGCGGTTTTGTGTGACCAGAGGGCTGCGAAGCAACATGAAAACAAAAAAAAAAACTGTATAACCAGCATGCTCGAACTTTTCCCAAAATAACAGTGGGTAATACAGTAAGAATACAAAACTCAAGAACGAGATTAATGGACAAAATAGAAACTGTAACGAAAGTCGGAAAATTCAGAAAATATGTTATCAAATTACCCAGTAGATGAATGTTAATAAGAAATAGAAAATTTTTATTAAAAATTTTAGGGAAAGGGGTCGGTATGCAATAAGCAAAACGGGGAGATGAAGTGAGTGATCACCCTGTTAAATAGATTTTAGAGTTGTTAATGAGAAGTTGTCAGATAATAACTTTTAATAAATGATAGATACAATTTATTATAATTATTGATCTTATCAGCATGCAACTGTGTTTTTGGTAGCAGTTTAATAAAATTTATATTGAGTAGTAATTTAAAACATGTACCTTCGTATGAATCAGCAAACCCTGTTAGCACGACATTCCTGTAGCTTCCATTTCTTGTAGGAACTTTATCATTGTGAGGACTTATCATTGTTACGTCATGTCCAGCTTCAGCAAGTCCCCTCATCAAGGAATTTCCTAGTGTATAATGGCTCTTTGCTGGCATGGGAAATATCCCCAATATTTTTGCACCATGCGATAGTTGAAAACAGAGAACACAAATAAATAACAATAATACAGCATTTTTAAATTCCATTCTAGTGGTTTTTTCACAAGATTAATCTGGTCTGGTGTATATTAGGTACACTTATTATCGCTATTAAAACATTTCAATTCAACGCGATATCAATAAAAAATGTTCTTTTGTAATCTAGATAATAACACAAATAAATAACCTATATTAATTAAATAATTTTTTCAATACATACGCAGGTGTGCGATAAAATTTAAAAATAATTCTATTATAAAGTACCTACAGTATGGTTCAAATGAAAGGAATACATTCATTATAATGGAAGTCGTTGGTTTTTCGAAAAAATGCTCGGACAGGTCAATTTTGTTTACTTAAAGCGCAATTTTTTAAATAAAATTCAATTTTCCCCCATTTCCCATTTTTGGGCAGTGACGTCATTGACAATTTTTTTAAATAGCAACCCCAATTTTTTTTTCTTGATTTTGATAGATCTTGCAATTTCCTACTCGGAAACATAATATTTGAAATATATGACATAACAATTTTTTTTGAAAAAAATTCATTTAAAGATCAGATACATAAATTTTATGTTATTTTGAAACACAATAAATTAATAAAAGATAATTATTTGTAATTAAGTGCGTAATCTAAAATAATAATAATAATAATAATAATAAAAAGAGGGGGGTGGGTTGGCTCAGTGGTTAGAGTCATGACTTTGAGATCGGAAGGTCTCAGGTTCGAATCCCACCGTTGGCCGGGATTTTTTCATTTAATTTAATTATTTAAAATTAATTCTGATGCCTTGGTAGGATTCCCCACTCGACCATTTACTGTTGGGTTCTAATTAACAGTGCTGTTCCTATTTAATGACAATTTCACAAATTCTTTTTATTATTATTATTATTATTATTATTATTTTGTTAGATTAAGCATTTAATTACAAATAATTATCTTTTATTCATTTATTGAGTTCTCAAAATAAAATAAAATTTATGTGTCTGATCTTTAAATGTCTTCTATTCAAAAAAAAATGTTATGTAAGATATTTAAAATAATGTTTCCGAGTAGGAAATTGCAAGATCTATCAAAATCAAGAAAAAAAAATTGAGGTTACCATTTAAAAAAATTGTCAATGACGTCACTGCCCAAAAATGGGAAGTGGGGGAAAATTGAATTCTATTTAAAAAATTGCGCTTTGAGTAAACAAAATTGACCTGTCCGAGCATTTTTTTCGAAAAACCAGCTACTTCCAATATAATGAATTTATTCCTTTCATTTGAACCATACTGTATAATAATGAGACAATGAAAACGCAAAATTAGTAACACAATTATTTAAACTTTTTGAAAGTTTCAGATTGAAAATATATACGGCACAGGCTCACATGTAGGTTTCGGGTATTGTTGAAGTCTCAATAGTAATTTTAATCATAACTAAATAGTAATTTTGATAATAAAAAAGTATTTTAGAAAAAAAATCTATCTCGAGTCTGTCAACTTGAAAGTGGATTTCTTATCAATATATTATGTTACAATGTAATAGGGATAATTTTAACCAACAAACACTTATAAAACTACTTGAAAGATAAAATGGACGGTGTTATGCAAAAACCGTTTAACCCGCAAACCATTATTGTTGATATAATTGATTTAAATATTCAACATAATATTTAAAAACCCGTTTTACAAAGTTATAATCTTATTTATTTCAATTATTTAAAAAAATATATTTCGAAACTTAGTGTTACAATCATGTACAAAAACTGTCAAATTTGACAAAACTAAACATTAGAAGCAGCTTAGATCATTTTCGAAAACCGGGATCAAAAAAATATGGAATTAGATAAAAAATAAACTAATATAAAAATCTGTTTTCTAATAAATTACGTACTAATCTTCTAGGAAACTGTCATCGATCTCTAAATCCAAGTCGTTTCCGAGCCCCTCTACATCCTCTTCAAAGTCTTGCTCTGGGTTTGCCTTTAGGAAATCGTAAAATGCATCAGCATCAGCATCATTGGCAATCAGGTTCATGATTTCTTTTAAATCTTTAATTTTTTCTGTACATAAAGGTTTTCCATTTGGTCACAATACTGGCAGCTCTATTTCTTTTAGGCAGAATCATTGCCCATTGCAAAGAGCAGAAACTCAACCTTATAATAAGATGCGATGCCAATGCACACCATACGATCTGGGGAAGCACCAACATCAATCCAAAAGGTGAGTCACTATTACAATTCATTCTAGGTGAAGGTTTAGAAATTGCCAATAAAGGCAACAAAACAACTTTTGTCACTGCCAACCGAAAAGTAGTTCTAGATTTGACCATGTATTCGAGAGGCACAAATGACCAAATCAGGGACTGACATGTGTCCGATGAACCATCGTGTTCAGATCACAGACATATCTGATTCCATATACAATGTCCCACTCGTACAACAGTCAAGTTTAGAAATCCGAGAGAGATGAATTAGAAAGGGTACATAAAATCCCTCGAGGAGTCTCTCAAGGATAAAACCACCAATGTACGAGAAACTAAAAACTCGAAAGGACAGTAGACTTGGTAAACAAGGCAATTAATGATGCCTACCAAGAAAACTGTCCCTAATAAACACCTAGACAGCCTGAGAGGCGAAGTGCGAAGGCTATTCGACAGAGCCAAATCCACACAAGACTGGACTACTTATAAAAATAAGCTCACAGAGTATAACAAGGAAGTATTCAAGGCTAAAAAAACTCATGGAGGAAGTTCTGCGAAGAGGTCTCAGAGACCACCGCCAGCGCTAGAATTCACAAAGTTATAGCCAAAGACAGTACATCTAGTCAAGTAGAATACCTCAAAAAAGATGATGATACCTACATCACGACACTAGAGGAAAGTCTGGAGATACTAACTCAGGTGCACTTTCCGGCCACAACTATATCCTAACAGGACTAGACTCAGGAGACCAAGAGAGCTACAAGGGGATCAGACCAACTCCAATAGACTGGAAGCTGGCCTCCGAGATCACAAGACCATACAGGATTAGTTAGGCTATCAACAAATTTAAAAAATACAAATCCGCGGGGCCGGATGGAAAATATCCAATTCTGCTCCAGAAAAGTAAAGATGTATTAATGCCACATTTATGCAAAATCTTCAGAGCATGTATTGCCTGGAGATATATCCCAGCAATATGGCATAAAGCGAATGTAGTCTGCCTTGCCAAAGTAGGTAGGCTCACAGACCAAACGCCAAAGTCATATCGCCCCATAAGCCTATCCTCCTTTCTACTTAAAACTCTAGAAAGATTGATAGATAGGTATATCAAGGACGAGATACTAAAAATAAATCCACTCCATCCCAACCAATATGCATACAAGCCAGGAAAGTCAACTGACCTAGCGCTGGACCATCTAAATAGGCTGCTTTCAAAGTCAATAGATGACAAAGAAATCGCAATAGCCACTTTCTTAGATACCAAAGGAGCTTTCAACAATGCCTCAAGTAGGTCAATAACCAAGACTCTAGAAGAGAGAAACGTCTCAGTTACAATTTGCCAATGGACCACTGTCTGTCTACAGAATAGGATTATTTTATCCACTCTAGGAAAGGCAACTATACAAGCAAAAGTTACACGGGGCTGCCCACAAGGAGGAATATTATCTCCAATGATGTGGTCAGTTCTTGTGGACGACTTACTCAAAATATTGTCCAAAGAAGGCTACCAGTGCCTAGGATACGTAGACGACCTAGCAATTATCGTCAGGGAGCGATTTGCAGGCACAGTTTTGAAGCGATCTCAAACAGCTCTAAACATAGTGAGTAAATGGTGCACAAAAAAGAACAAGTTTGTCCATTAACGCACAAAAAACAACAGTTGTACCATTCACAAAAAAAACAATACTTACAAGTCTAAGACCACTAGTACTAAACAACATAGTTATCCCATTCGTCACAGAAGCCAAATACCTCGGAGTCATATTTTACCAAGGCCTAACGTGGAATCAACATCTCAAAAAACACATACAAAGCTACAATAGCTCTCGTAAGCTGTAAAAGAATATTTGGGAAAAACTGGGGTCTAAACCCCAAAATGACCATATGGTTATAAACAAGGGTAATAAGACCCATGATAACCTATGGCGCAGTGGCGTGGGTAACCAAAACTGCGCAGGCAAGTGCAATAGGCTAACTCACTAGCATTCAGCGGCTTGCCTGTCTAAGTGTTACTGGGGCCATGCACACTACGCCGACTGCAGCAATGGAGGTATTATTAAATCTCACGCCACTGCACATCTTCATACAAGGAGAAACCAGGTCAGCTATTCACAGGCTAATGCAGGAACAAAACCCAATGAGCCAACTACATAGCGCCGATCACACAAGGCTATATCAGCAATTTAAAAGGGTTAATATTCTAGCTATGCCTACAGATAAAGCCATAACCAAACACAAATTTGAAAGAAATTTTCAAATTCAAATACCAGCCCGAGAATCCTGGAAACAGGGACTTCCCGTACAGGCTGAACTCATCTGGTACACAGACGATTCAAAAACCAAGGCAGGAGCCGGTGCTGGAATCTATGGACCCAAGTCGAGTTAAGGAAAATATGCAACAGTGTTCCAAGCTGAGTTTATAGCCATACAACACTGTACAAGAGAAATAATAAATCAGCAAGTATCAGGAAAAACTGCTGCCATATACTCTGATCATAGGCGCCGGAATTCCAAAATCGCTTTGGGTGCCCGGCTTCTATGCGGAAAATGGGGGCTATCCCCCCCCTACCCTCCACAACTCACTTAAAGGCACCACCGGTTTTTTAAAAAGCTATTTTAAAGTTGATTTTATGAAAATTTTCTTCAAAAAAAAAGGTATTGTCAAATGGCAATTGTTGGATAGGCTGGAGGCTCCCACCTAAAACGGGATATCTGGAAACCCCATATGCTCGGTGCAGCCACCACTGGTATTTTGAAGGTATTTTTAAATATATTATAACCCCCAAATTTTAAATCGCCACTGTCTTCCTAGCCATTATCTTTTAACGATTTTTATTTTCTGTAAAATCCTACCAGTTAATCGAGTAAATGCTAGAAATGCTGATTCTGGACCTCCATGCAATAATAGAGGTTTTGTTTAAAATGCTATCGAACATTTTGAAGCATCTA